ATGGGGAGCCACAACAGAAAAGGCCCTCTCCTTTGTCACCAGCCTCTGAGCCTGAAGAAAGGCCTCAGAAGAAGAGGATTTGTGTAGGTTCATATCAGGAGAGGCATTCCAGAAGATTCTCCCCTTTCTAGAACTATGGTATAATTAAGTGCAGCATGGTGGGGGGAAAGGTTTTGCTCCTGCCCTATCCTCTAGGACTTATACCTACACCATACCTGCCTGCTGCCTCTCTCAGATAGGAGAGTGTGTGGAGAGAGACAGTTATTGTTGTAACTGTGCAGGGTTTTCAAGTCTGTTGCTGATGGAGGGGGATGCAAGGAAAGGCCATACCAAATAGGAGACAAGATGTACCTGCTTTGCCTGCTTAACTTGGCATGTTTGCTACACATTTCATACAATTGCCACATCAGGAATGGGGAACCTACAGTCCTCCAGTTGTTGCTGAACGACAACTTCCATCATCCCTGATCATAGGCCATGCTGGCTGGGCCAGATGGGATTTGGAGTCCCACATCATCTGGAGAGCTACAGGACTGCCTGGGTCTCAATCAATATTTATTCCAGTTAATCTTTGGAGCCAAAGAATCATCACTTGCCCCGAGTTCCACTGCCAGGTTCCTACTGATGTATTTGGGCAAAAACAAGTTGCTCACATTCATGCTCAGACAAACCTGTGAGCAAGAGAACCATTTCACACTCAAGAGTGTTGGGCAAGCAAAGCTACAACTGGGCAAGCAAAGCTACTGCTTACATTTTAGCACAAACAGAAAAGCATTCAATGCAGCATTTACAAGGAAGCTGCATTTTTAATAGGCCCTAAATGCTACTCAGCTGTGTGCATCCCTGAGCTGCAATTGTGGTCCCTGCTTCCTTAAGCAGAATGCCATTCTGGTCGGGTCCTGTGGAAAGCAATTGCTGAAGCCTCACATTGTCTTTGTATAGTTGGCTTTGTCAGGATAAAATGTCTGAGGCAGCTTGTAGAGAAAAGGCTTTGATATGGTTGGCTGAAAATTAGTTTCTTCCATCTTGCAAAACATTTGAGCAATGACATCAGTGGTAAAAGTCTTTCACTTAACAATGGAGACAAGGGAATCATCACATGGCTTCCAGAAAGTATAGTAAGAAATGTCACTTTTAAAATCCTTCAAGAAAATTCACAAACATGCTCAAAAATGCCTTCTAGGCCCCATAACCTTTTAGATACAGTACTTAAGTTTTGAACATGTCTTTCTTCTTTCAGAGATGCATTGTACAGTAGTGATCTACAGCAGGCTTGTGAACAACTTGGTCATCTATGATGAATGCAGAATTGCTCCCAGATGACCAGAAAGTTTTACAAAAGCAATTTCTGTTTCTCTTTCCCTTTAGGTGGCAACTAACTAGCCCGGCTATGCATGGGCAAGTGGGTTTGTAGCTTTTGTGAATCTATTTTCAAAGCTGAACTACAATTAAATTGCTCATGGAGTACTATAACTCAGTCCAATAAATAAAAATAATAAGCCAATCCAAAGAGTTTGCAGCATTTCCCCATCCTCAGATATATTCACCCACTACTCTCAACATCAGTCAAACAGAAAGCTGCAAATAATTCCCATTCGGAGGTATGCAAGAGGAAGCAGCAACATTCCTGTCATTTAACCAATGCATAAGGTAAATACACACTTCCTGCACAAAACCTGTGTGAGCAGATATCATCCACCCAGGTAACAGTTTCAATAAGGAAAATGTGTTATCTATGAACACAGAAGCTACGTGCAGGGCTTAGATCCTGTAACCTGATTGCACTGAACAGGCATAGTCCATGCTGCAACCTTTTGTTGTAAATCCTGCTTGTGTAAATAAATAATAAAAAAGTAAGGGTCTCTGAGCACACACACATTTTCCTTACATAAATGTGAGTAGCTAGAACCAACACATATGGACTCCTAGTATAAGATCTGGCATTATGGCCGGTTTGAGCTGCACCATCTCCTATATGAGAAATCAAGCACTGCTATGGCCAAGTTCCCCTTAAACAGATGCTGCTTTTGAATGTACAAAAGTTACCAAAGCAGCTGAGCTTAGCTGCCTAAGCACCTATTTAGTTCCAGAGTTCAGAGTCTGTAAAACTGTTTCCAGGCATTAGCTGTAGTCACTCCCCAATCCATATCCCAGCTGTTAAATGGCACATCTGCAATATCTTCCCTACAGCAATCTGAGCTGCATAGCATCGCCATGGTAAGGCTGGGATTGCACCAGGAGCAGAAGTGAATTCAAAAACTTATTTTTAACTAGCTCTTTTTTTCTGCCTTGGCTTTATTTCCTATGATTAAGGCTCATTTCATTTCTTTCTCCACCAAGCTAGAGGCAGCAATGCAAGGGCTCCACAAAATCTCCAGGTTAGTTCCCTCCCGTCTGTGGGTAGGAAAAAACAGGGCTGGCAGAAAGGCCTTTCTTACTGCGCTAAGCTGGGCAGTGCAAGGGCAACCTGAAAGCTGGCCCTGGAAATCCGTGGCACGTCAACGTGCCTGAGGACCCAGGCCAGGACTGACATCAGCAGCAGAACTTGAATGCTGCTTCCAAAGTGCTGCTGCCCCTGGGAGCTGCCTGTACTGTGGTCAAGCTAGCAATCTTTATGATAGGTGTGGGGAACCTTTGGCCTCCAGACGTTGAGGTATATGAAGGGGCCAAAATTTCTTCACACCTCTGTTATGGAAAATCACATCAGCCAGAAGCAGGCACATTTAAGCCCCTGGTTCAAATCTTGTTCCTTCCATGAACTTACTAGGCAGTCTTTGGCAAGCCATGAAGAAGCCATCCTACACTTTGTTGCCCCTTTGGTCCACTTAGCTCAGTATTGCCTATACTAGGATGGGGACCCTTTTAGACCCTGAGGAGCACACTTCCTTGGGGCCAACAATCTGAGGGTCACATGCCAGTGGTGGGCGGGACCACAGGCAAAAGTGAGCAGGTCTATGGATGTGACTCTTACTTTTGTATAAAAGGCTATATTTCAATCACACAAAAGTCAGATGGTACTATACATACACACACATTTTCACAGTTCAAAGACACATTCCAGTCAACCAAGAGTACACAGGGAGGGCATGGAACATGGCCAATGAAGGATGATCTAATGAGAGTCTTGAGGGCCAGAGAAAGGCCTGGAGGGTCGCATTCAGACCCAGGGCTTGCAATTCCCCATGCCTGGTCTACATACTTACTGGCAGCAGCACTCTGGAGTTTCAGAAAGGAGTTCTCTAGCCATACCTAGAGATCATGGGATTGAATGTGGGACCCTTTGCAGGCAAAACATGTGCTCTGTCAGTGAGCTATGACCCATTCTTACCCTCACCTCCTCGTCTATGAAGGGAAAGGCAATGCGATGTAGTGGTTAGTGTGTTGGACGAGAACCTGGGAGATCAGGGTTCAAATCCCCATTCTGCCATGAAGCTCACTTGGGCCAGTAACTGCCTCTCAGCCTAACTTACCTCACAGGGTTGTTGTGGGGGTTAAATGAGGAGGGGTGAACCATGTGTGCTGCTTTAAGCTCCTTGGAGAAAAAGGTGGGATATAAACGTATTAAACAAACACACACCCCTTGTTGTTCTAAAGATTACTTAGTTAATATCTCTACGCCACTTCAAACACTCTAAGAGCCCTTTAAAATGTGAAGGGTTTACTATGAGCCTAAACTGGGAGTGGATTCCTTGCATCCACATTTAATAATGCAACTCATCCCTCCCACTACAAACCCAAAGGTCAGTGGCCTCCAACTTAAATGCACAGCCAGTAAAAGCAAAGTCAGGCAAATGGAAGGAAGAGTTCAGTGAAGCGAAAGAGCTGAGAGTCAACGAAATCCCTGCCTAGAGAATGCTTGGATCCAGAGTTGAGAAGCGAGAGAATCCCTAATAATCTGCAGCCCCAGGAGGGCAGACAGGGACTTTCTAGCTGGCTGGAGAGAGAAGATCTTGCCATAATGGCTTGTGTGCGGTAGGAAAGCAACCATGATTCACTGGGGAAGGGGAAGGCGAGCGGGCGGGGGGTGGGAGGCGGTTGTCAGCAGAGACCAGTCGCCTCGGAAACCGAACTGGCGCTGTGGCTGCAAACTGATGAATGGATCCCGCGCCATGGAGGTGGGCAAAACTACGCTGGCCCTGATCGCACGGGGAAATGCACATCTTCACAACCCACCAGCAGGGGGCGGGCACGGGCACACGCTACATCCGCGCGTACATACACAAGCACACATATAAACAGAGCGAGCGCATGCATGCACACAAACAGGCAAAGAACAGTAACGCGGCTCCCTGCCCACACGCCTGCTTAACCGCGGCGGCGTGCGCGGAAAACACACACACACACCCCATGGCCAAATGCGCGCGCACCCACCCGAGACAACAACACGCTTTACCCAGTACGCGTGGTCGCACACAATGAGGAGAGCGAGGTGTGGGGGGAAAGACCCGCAAAACACTGGGGTCAAATTTCGTCTTTCATAACGGCACACGCATGGAGAAGGCAGGCTGCTCGGAGGATGCCTTCGAGCGGCTTTCCCCGGGGACCGCGAGCGCGCAGGGCACCTCCTCCTCTCCCGCTTGCAGCGCACGAGGGGACCCAGCGCGCACGACTCCCGCACCGCGCGCAAACGCAAGGCGACTTCACCCGGGATCTTCACGCCATGATCAGTAGGCGATGCCCACCCCCTGATCACCTGTAGGAGTGAGCGGCTGGAGCGGCGACTCAGGTCTGCCCGTCGCCCCCCTGCCCCCGGTTAGGTTGAGGTGGCGCCGGAGCGACCTCCGAACAAAGCCAGCTCCGGCTCGCCCGGGCACGTGCTCCGCCAGCGCCGCTTCCTCCCCGGCGGGCAGAGCGCTCTAGACGCTCCCGAGGGTGAAAGGCGCCCCCATCTGGGACCCTAGCGGAGGGGATCTCCCCCTCCTCCTGGAGTCTGGCTCGGGCCTGGGCTCCGGCCTCGCGCTCCACAGACTCCCCAAGCCGCGAGGGGTGCGTGCCGTTACCTGCTGGAGTCATGCGCTGCCCCGGGGTGCGGGAAAGGCGCCGCGGCTCGCCCTGCGCGGCTGCTCCGGGCGCTGCTGGCGACGAGAAAGTGCCGCTCGGAGCATGCGTGTGGGAGCCAGCCAGGCATCTGATGTCGGGGAGGGAGGGAGCGGGAGGAAGGCTGCCTGCCTGCCTGCCTAGGCACTTGGAGAGAGAGAGAGAGAGAGAGAGAGAGAGAGAGAGAGAGAGAGAGAGAGAGAGAGAGGGAGGCAGCGCTCCCAGCAACGGGGGAGGAGAGTCTGGGCTCTGTCAGGGATGCAGCTCTTCAGGAACCTGCACAGGAGCGGGGGGTGGGAGAGAGTGGATCTCTCGCCTGAGCTGCAATTCTCGTGGCAATGCCATAGCAGGGCGGGTAGACTGGCCACAGATTGCCCTTGCTCTTGGTCCCGCCGCGAAAATACACAAAATGACTCTTCTTCTACACAGAGAGGGGCAGTCTCGTTAGTTTGTTGCAATAACAAGGGTCTACTGGCCGGGCACCTTCGAGAACGCTACGGCTGAGCTCCGATACACGTCCACCCGAAAATGTGCCAGTTTCCAGCGAAGCTCCCCCCCCCCCTAGGAAAGTGTTTCTAGCAGAGATTGGGTCCTTGTGGCCCTCCAGATACTGTGGGACTCCAACTCTTGTCGCCCCTAATCACTGGCCATGGTTGGGGCTGATGGCAGTTGGAGTTCAACTACATCTGGAGAGCAACAGGTTCCTCGTCCCTGCTTTGCAACACAGTAGATGGTGCAAGTGCCAGGGCGCAGTAGCACTTACTTCCAAGTAGATGTGCACAGGATTGCCAAAAACGTGGCTGCCAACATCAAGACAGCGTTTTCTCTTCTCTACTCTCTATTTTGCTTACCATCCAGCCTGATGTTCCTTGAGCTCAAGGCTTGCTCACTATTCTGGTTTTAATACCAACACGGTTTCTTTTGGGGGTTTTCTGTAAATCGGTTCGTATTTGGCAATTCCCCCATTCTTCTGTTCCATCCATATCTCTTTGCCTTGGCTGTTAAGCCTGTTACCCTTCCAGGCTTACACTTCTATGTTCTATATAGTGTCATAGCACTTAGAATAATAGAATTGTAAAGTTGGAAGGGACACCGAGGGTCATCTAGTCCAACCCCCTGCAATGCAGGAATGACTGTTACTGTGTGAAAAATGACCCAACAGCTACAGGTAGCAAGGAAATTCTATTCCTGTTTGTAATTTAATCATTTCTGAAAGCCTGGTCCTCACAACAATAAGATATATATGCAGCTGACAGTGGAAGCAATTAAATGTCACTTGTGTGCTACTACAAAGTCACTTAAGAGTAGTTGTGCCAGCTTCCCAATTCTACTCAGATCACACTTTTAAATATATATATTACTCTTTTAATCTGCTGACGGTCCATAAACAGACACTAAGAGGTGCTGTAGTAGAATATATTTCTATTCAGTACAAGTGGGTAAGTGGTATCTAAACCATAAAACTTAAAACGACAAAAATCTCTACCTGTTTCTGCTAACTAATCTAACAAATAAATCTCACTATCAACCCCATTCTGCCACAAAAAGACCACCTTTCTATTTTCAAATCTTGATTATCCCACAGAGTCAGGTTAGCATGACCGTACGAGTCAAAGTGTAAAAAATAAAACTTCCACCCTTCCAAATCAGTAGCTGAAGAAGTCAATGAAATTGTGGGGCATTGTTAAAAGGGATCAGAACCTTGCCAAAGTTACACACCTTGTTTGTGTTCTTACCGTTGTTGTTAAAGAATTAGAACAGGGACACACAACATGGTGACCTCCAGATGTTGTTGGACTCCAACTCCCATCAGCTCTAGCCAAAATGGTCTTTCATTAGAAGTAACGGAAGCTAGGTTCCAGCAAAATCTGGAGGGCATCACACTGGTGAGTCCCCCCTGAGTTAAGAGGAATAATTCCACACTGGAATGTTATACTAGGAGAGCAGACAAGTTTTAAAACATGATTACAAACAGTATTGGTAAAAAAAAATCATATAATAGTATGGGGGGCATAAAGTCTATCACTTGTCCATTGTGTGACCACGTACCATACAGTGCTAAATACACCATTTAGATGAGAAAGCGGAAAAGATTGCATTTCCGCAGTGACTAAAGTCATAGTTTGAGTGATATGACAACGATATATTTTGCAGTAGAAACATTTGGGTCAAACAACAGTGCAATTATTGCACAAAAACCATCTGGAAAGTTTTGGGTCAACCATAGATGGCTAGGGGAAATGGTGTTTGATTTTGCATCGGAGTCAGTAAAGTTGATTATGGACCACACATTCCTTCCAGCATCCTCTCCACAAGACCTCTCAATTCCCCATCCCTCTCCTGGAAAGTGAGCCTTATGAAAAGCCAAGAAGCACCCTTCAACATCTGCAAGAAAGGCACAAATGAACTTCATCATCATCACTCTCCTCTTTCAACAGTGACCCGTTCCCTCTCTCCATTCCCTATATGCAACAAAACTGCCATCCTCTGCCCTGCCTTGATTACTAATATTGTCTGGGGGGAGGAGGGGGAAAGAATGAAAACCCACAAAGTGCAAATCCACCCACACCCTGAATCTACAATTGATGCCACCCACTCTGCCAACTCCATCAGAGAAGCCAACATGTGCTGCAGCCAGAAAAAAAGACAAGATTCTCTGAGAGGGGGAGGAAGGTGAAGCACCCACTGCATGTTCGCCCCCTCCCATTTGCTTCATGCCCCCTTTTCTGCACTAAACGAAAAGGGCATCTTTCTGGAGGATTTGTAGATGGGGTGATGGGAGGGGGAGAGAAATGTGTGGAAGGCTGAATATTGATGCTACCTGAGACAGAGCGGTTGGAAAGGAAAGCACTCCACACAGAGAGCATAGAAGCTCTGTTGCCGCTGCTTCCCAGCTCAGGCTTTGTCTAACAGCATCCTACGCACTCACTCTCGGCAGTGACGAGGAAACCACTTATACTCATCAGCGGCAGGTTCTGCTCCTCTTCCCACCCTGCTACACCCTCCCCCCAGGTCCTGAAGGACTCTCTCCACCTCCTCGTTCTAGCTCAGACTTCAGCAGCTCAGCATTGCACAGCGCTTTGGTTGGTAGCAGGGTCACTTCAGCTTCAAAATAACAAGACAGCAGATTCAGGACCATCTACTGTGTAGAGCCACCTTACCTAATCCAGTGCCTTCCAGGTGTTTTGGACTACAGCTCCCTATTGGGACTTCATGAAAAGGAAAGTTTAGAACTGTCCAGCGGCATGTGACGATAATACACACGGCACGCTCTGTTGCAACACACTGGTGCACATGCACTTGCCTTGCATGTGCCTATGTGTTTTCTTGCTCAATAGCATGACATTTAGCAAATTTACACAGAGCAGGAGAATATCCCCAGGACTGGCAATCTGACTACACTAATGCAGAAGAATGCTACGTTTCCTTCATATTAGAAATACTGGTGAATACTCTGTGGGGAGCAGCAGTGGCGTCTGCAGGGGGTGTCTTTGGCAGGAGAAAGAGAAATGGATATCCTTGATTATGGCCTGGGGCTCTAGAGGAGCTTGGACTACTCAGTTTACTTTTCACATTGTTATCAGTTGTTTTGAATCACCAAAGATAATGCAACTTTGGCAAGACATGAATTTTTTAAACTGCCCAAATGTTCTTTTTGAACTGCCCACTTTCTCCTAAACTGCCCATTTGGGTCTGCCTGCCCACTGTTTCTCTTTAAAGCCCTGACTCTCCATTTGCCGTATTGGAGAATGTTCTAATCCTTCTCTTCTGTAAGCAATAGTCAAGGTCTACCCAGAAGCAGAAACTGTCTTGATGTGTACAGAACTGTACTAAAAGATAACTCCCATCCCTAAGCGGCTTGGGCACAGGGCTCCATGGAGTCTACCGTTACGCAATCACAGATAATTCATAGATGACTTCTTGCCTGAGGCGAAAGCATGAGATGGAAAGGCAGTGCAGCTGTGAATGTTAAACCTGTTTTAAAAAACCATTTAAAGCATGTAGTGTAAACACACTTGTCAAAGAACTGAAGCCAATTCCAAGCAAATAGCCATTTCCTCCTACTGAAAAGAGGCCACCACCTGTCCCCTTGCACCAGGATACTATGGGAATTGAAGGTCTACATATGGATTTTGGTATTCAATTTCCAGGAATGGTTCAGATTAATCAGGGAGACTGTCACTGACCCAGGGTGTCAATGCTCATGCTGCTCAGCTTTGCTTTGGAGTAGGACTGATAGTGGAACAGTTTTAAGGCTGTCCTTTCCCCTGTCTGTTTCTCCTTCCATTGAGGTGGAATCTCAATCATGCTTCTTGGCTGTTGCTTTTTAGTTTGGGAGGCCATGGCCCAGTGGCAGAGCAGGCCCCAGGTTCAATTCCTGTATCCTCAAGGTAGGGCTGGGAAAGACCTCAGTGTGAAACCTTAGAGAGCTACTACCAGTCAGCGTAGACAATACTGAGCAAGAAGGACCAATGGTGTCTTAGTATAAGTTAGCTCCCTGTCTTAATATTAGAGCATGTGGATTTCCTTAACCAGACTGAGGCAGATGCTGGGGGAAACACGCAAACGTAAGAACATCTCCACTACATCAGTCCAAAGACCTATCTAGCCCAGTAACCTGCTTCCCCCACTGGGGCAAACCAGCAGAGCAAGAGGGCACTAGCACACCCCCTTTGCTGCAGCTCAGCAACTAGCATTCAGGGTTATGTTGCCTCTGACACTGGTGGCTCCATATACCCGTTGTGAATAATTCTAAAGCTAGCAGTTAACTGATGAATGTGGAATGTTATGTAACCAAAGCAGCACCATTTACACACATGAGGAGGTACCAGCACGATTAGGGTAACACCACGTTTTACAGTAGTTGAGAAAGAGGAAAGAAAAATTAACACCCCCCTCCCAAATCCCAGCTAGTCAGGACTGAGCATGTTTATCTGGAACAGAAAGGTAAGTGTGTATGAGAGAAAAAGTGCACACATGCACACACACACACACACACGAGCACGCACGCACGCACACACACACAGAGGAGGGCTGGTGGGGTGGGTAGGTGATGGCAGACAGCATGGCTGAGAGTAGTGGTGTGTGCGGCAGTGTAGAATTGCAGTCGCCCTCCGGACACCAGCAACACGGTTTGCCTGACTGTGACTA